GATAAGAAAAGCGAGAATGATTATAACCAGAAACTGAAAAGGAAAGGAAGACGGGAGGAGGCAGTTGAGGAGAGAAGGAAAGGGAGTGAAGACGAGAAAGACGGAAAGAGGACGGGAAAAGAAGAAAGGAGAGCAATGAAAGATAGGGAAGGGAAGAAAAAAAAAAGTAAGAGTGTAGAATTTGAAGAGAAGGAGAGAGGGGAATGGAAATGAAGGTGTAGGAAAGAGGAATAGATTGTAGGAATGAGAAAAGATAAGCAGAGAAATGAGAGAAAAGGGAAGTAAGAGGATAAAGAGAAATAGAAGAAAATATCAGATAATACGAAGAGGCAGTAAGAGAGTCCTGAAATGGCACTAACGTCTTTGGTGTTATTTTTTTTATTTTTTTGTCTTTGTATCAAGAAAGTGGGAATGGAGAGGAAGGGAGTGAAACCAATGGGAAGTAAAAAACAAAATGTCACAGGTGGAAGTCGAGATTAAGAAGAATCAAGTAAGAAAGACGAAGGAATTAGAAAATCTATACAATATATATGCTGATGTACGTTTAATGTTTGTATATTTCCATGCGATATGATGACATTAGAGAACAGTGTTTTAGAACCTGAACACACGAACTTACGGGCAAAACTCTACGGCATTTTGCGCCTGATTTTAAATACTTACCAAATGTGCCGTCCTTCTTAATATCAACAGAAAGGCCACAGGAAAAGACTTAACCCAAATGATATGACCTTCTATGACCTCTAACACGCAGGTCTCGAAGCTATACGAGGAGCTGGAGTGCCAGATCAGCGGAGAGAGGTCAAAGGTGGCCCTCGAACACAGCCAGAAGGAGGCGCGCGCTCTCGCCAGTCTGGAAACCGAGGTGAGGAAAATAACCTTTTTGGATGTTTTAAGGCAATGTGTAATAGATGATGTGTTTATTTCATGATTGAATATCTTCCTTTTCCTCTTCCTCTCTCTCTCTCTCTCTCTCTCTCTCTCTCTCTCTCTCTCTCTCTCTCTCTCTCTCTCTCTCTCTCTCTCTCTCTCTCTCTCTCTCTCTCTCTCTCTCTCTCTCTCTCGCTCTCTCTCTCTCTCTCTTGTACTTACTACTACTACTTACTACTACTACTACTACTACTACTACTACTACTACCTTACTTACTACTACTATACTATCTACTACTTACTACTACTACTATTACTACTTACTACTACTACTATTGCTACTTACTACCAGCTACTTACCACTACAAATACTAATACTACCACCATCTTTCACCAGCAATAAAACATAACAATATCAACACAACGGAAACACACATATACGAAAACATACAAAGATATAAAGAAAAAACAGTGAATTGATAACGTCAAGATCCACCTCGGTTCGTGGCATTTCCGTGTCTGTTCGTCTGTCTGTCTGTCTGTCTGTCTGTGCTTCTCTGGTTATCCCGTGTATGTTTGCGTCTTCCCTACGTCTTCGCTACACCCTTGTCCTTCGCCGACAGGTAGCCGAGAGGGAGGCAGCGCTGCGAAGTCTGGAGGAAGAGCAGCTGAAGATGAGGCAGAGACTTGAGCAGGTCCTGGCAGCTGAGACCGCAGCACGAAGCGAGAATTCGTTCCTCTCGCAGCATGTGGTAGGATTTCAAGTCGTGGGGTTTGCGTTGTGTGTGTGTGTGTGTGTGTGTGTGTGTGTGTGTGTGTGTGTGTGTGTGTTGTGTGTGTGTGTGTGTGTGTGTATGTATATATATATAATATATATATATATATATATATATATATATATATAATATTATTATATATATATATATATATATTTCACTTGTGTGGCGTGTGTGTCAGCAAGTATCGCTGTGTAATAAAAAAAAGTTGCATGAAAAAAATTACTCGAGAAGACTTGCCTTAATCTTGTTTTCTTTCCTTTATCATGATTACTCTCCATGTCACCTTAGCGTAATCTCTTTTTTTTCTCTCTCTCGTACTTTTACATAGATAACTCAAATACCGTGTAAGATATTCTTATCGGGACAGAAGGAGATAAGTTGCAAAAAAAAGAAAGAGGAAATCTTGAAATTTTGTCTTCCGCCTTTATCTTTCCTTTATTTTGCTTCGTTATCGATTTTTTGTTACGAGTGTGTCATTTTCTTTGTTTTTTATTCTATTTTATCGTATTATTCAGTGAATTCCTCTTTTCATTTCCTTCGCATTCTTGTTCCGTTTCGTTCTATATCCTCCATGCCCTATTCTTCAGTACTATTTTGTTGATTAAATTTTCTCTACAATTTTATACAACATAAATTCATTCCTATTTCATCACAGGAGAAGCTCGAGGCCGACTTGAACCGCCGAGAGTTCGAAGTGCAAGAGCTACAGTCCACCCTCGACGCCCTCAAGCACAGGACTAAGGAAGAGAAACGCAGGAGAGCTCACCAAGCCTTCAAGGTGCGCTGTTGCCAAATGTTGTGAGGTTGAAAAGTGTTGCCAGGTTTTGACAGGTGTTGGTAAGTGTTGTGAGGTTGACAGGTGTTGGTAAGTGTTGTGAGGTTGACAGGTGTTGCCAGGTTTTGACAGGTGTTGGTAAGTGTTGTGAGTTGACAGGTGTTGCCCAGGTTGTTGACAGGTTTGTTGGTAAGTGTTGTGAGGTTTGAGACAGGTGTTGCCAGGTTTGGTAAGTGTTGTGAGGTTGACCAGGGTGTGATGCCAGGTTTTGACAGGTGTTGTAAAGTGTTGTAGGAGGTTGACAGGTGTTGGAAGTGTTGTGAGGGTTACAGGTGTTGCAAAGTGTTGCAGGTTGAGTAAGTGTTGTGGTTGACAGGTGTTGCCAAATGTTGTTGGTGAGGATAGGTTGACAGGGTGTGGTAAGTGTTGTGAGGTTGACAGGTGTTGCTAGGTTTTGATAGGTGTTGGTAAGTGTTGTGACGTTGATAGGTGTTGCTAGATTTTGACAGGTGTTGGTAAGTTTTGTGAGGTTGACAGATGTGCCAGGTTTTAACAGGTGTTGTTTTGAGGTGTTGACAGATTGTGAGGTTCATAGGTTTTGACAGGTGTTGCAATTTGTTGTGAGGTTCATAGGTGTTGATAGGTTTTGATAAGTGTTAGCAGGTGTTGTGAGGTATTGACAGGTGTTAACAGGTTTTGACAAGTTGTGAGGATAGGTTTTGACAGGTGCTGCCATGTGTTATGAGGTTCATAGGTGTGCCAGGTGTTGACAGGTGTTGCCACGTGTTGTTAGGTTGATAGGTGTAATAAGTGTTGTGAAGTGTTGTGAGACTGATAGGTGTTGACAGGTATTGTGAGGTGTACGGTGAGGACTCTTAGGTCTGAACCGTATTCATTGTGGCAAATGTAGAAAAGGTATGAATGAGAATGAATAAACAAGAGATGCATTTATCCGGTTTATATATGTGTGTGTGTGTGTCCGTGTGTGTGTGCGTGTGTGTGTGTGTGTGTGTGTGTGTGTGTGTGTGTGTTGTGTGTGTGTATGTGTGTGTGTGTGTGTGTGTGCAGGAATTCAGTGTTCGAGGTGGCTCGGCGGCATAATTCCTACATATAAGTGCATCAGAGTGTGAAAGGAATCCATGGATACCAGAAATCGTCGCGATCGGTTATATGAAGGTTTGTGAGAAATTACTGCATACACAGCACACACACACACACACAACACACACACACACACACACGCACACACACACACACACACATCACACACACACACAGCACACACACAACACACACATACACACACACACACCACACACACACACACACACACAACACACACACACACACACCACACACACACACACACACACAACACACACACACATATACATATATATATAATATATATATATAATATATATATATATATATATATTATATTATATCAGTAATTTTAAGACAGTCGCGCCCATTTTTTTCTCCTCCTACCCCCTTCAGTCTTGTGGGACCCGTGGAGAATCGGGTGTTGAAGGGGGGGGGGGGGGGGGGACACGGGAGAAATAAGTGAAATCAAAAGTGAAAATTTTAAAAAGAAAAATGCAAAATCCGCCAGTGTCAGTGTTGCCGAAATCCAGACGAAATTTCTTAAAACCTTTAACCTAACCTAACCTAACCTTACCTAACCTAACCAGCCTAGCCTAACCTAACCTAAACCTAACCTACCTAACCTAACCTAACCTAACTAACCTAACCTAACCTAACCTAACCTAACCTAACCTAACCTAACCTAACCTAACCTAACCTAAACCTACTGACCTTAACGCTAACCATAACCTAAACACCTAAACCTAACCCTAACCTAACCTAACGTAACCTAACCTAACCTAACTAACCTAACCTAACCTAACCTAACTAACCTAACCTAACTAACTAAACCTGAACCTAACCTAACCTAACCTAACCTAACTCTAACCTAACCTAACCTAACCTTAACCTAACCCTAACCTAACTAACCTAACCTAACCTTCTAATACCTAACCTAACCCTAACGAACCTAACTAACCTAACCTACTCCCTAACCCAACCTAAACCTAACCTAACCTAAACCTAAACCAACTACCAACCTAACCCAACAACTAACCTAACCAACCGTAACCTAACCTAACTAACCTAAACCTAACCTAACCTAACCTAACCTAAACCTTACTCTAACTAATCTAACCTAACCTAACCTATGACCAAACCAAACCTAACCTAACACCACTAACCTAACCTAACCAAACTAACTAACCTAACCTAACCTAACCCAACCTACCTAACCTACCTAAACCTAACCTAACCAACGTAACCTAACCTAACCTAACCTAACCTAACCAGTAAATCCTAACCTAAACCTAACTAATGCTAACTAACCCTAACACTAACTAACCAACCTAACCTAACCTAACCTAACCTAAAACTTAAAACCTAAACTAACCTAACGAAACCTAACGTCTAACCTAACCGAACCACGCTAACCTAACCTAAACCTAACCAACCTGACTTAACCTAACTTAACCTAACCTAACCTAACCTAACCTAACCTAACCTAACCTAACCTAAAACCTAACTAACACTAACCTAAACACACCCTAACCTACCTAACCTAACTAAGCCTAACCTAACCAACCTAACCTAACTAACCTAACTAACCAACCCAACCCAACCTAACCCAACCTAACCTAGCCTAACCTAACCTAACCTAACCATACCCAACCTAACCTCACACCTATACCTAACCTAAACGAACGTAAATCGTAACCTAACGCTCAACATTACATAACCTACATACCTAACCCAATAACGTACCTGAACCTAACCCTAAACCTAACTGACTTAACCTAACCTAACCTAACCTACCCTTTACTAATCTATATCTAACCTAACCTAGACCTAACAAAAACCTACACCAACCTACCTACCAACGTAACCTAGACCTAACCAATCTGTAAC